CTTTCAAGCCCCACTGCCGGGATGTATCCATGGGATTGCAGCCTCAGGGGAACGGCGAGAGAACGGGAGATGCCGAGCCCATATTCCTTAGCTGCCTCCAGCACATGCCACTCTGGTTCCCTCGGTGCCTCCCCCGCCGCTCAGTACTACATCCCAGCATCACGGCTGGATGAGTGCCTCCCCGGGGGACCAAGGCATCGATCAGCAGCTGCTGCGAGCAGAGAGAAGTCTCAGCTCCCCCTCTCCATCTGCTGGCTCGCAAAAACACGCCGTGTCTGCGCAAGCAGCAGAGGGCGAAACGCGCCTTCTCGATCACCCTCCCCGCTGGGGGGAGTCTTTACTGAAGGCTCCCCCCGGCTGGGAGCTGGCAGGGCCGTCCTTGTCCACACCACACCTCTGGCCCCGTCCTCTCCCGCTTCTCCACGTGGGGGCTCCAAGGGGTCTCCTTGCAGGCAGTGACCGCCCGTGGCCGGTTTTCCCACTGGTGGGAGCCATTCTTGCATGGGTGCCCAGCTCCCTCGGCTTGTCCGTCACATCCCGTGAGCCCAGGCACCAGGGGTTGTTTGAGGGAGGAGGAGATCTCCTGCCACCTGGGCCTGCAGGGTGCAAAGGCCCAGCACGCCATCCCGCAACACTGGCGTCCACAAGATGGCAGCCCCACGGAGCAGCTCAGGCCCAATGGGCTGTCTTGCCATGAAAGCCCCGTCGGGGAGAGAAGGCCAAGGACCAGGACCTTTCCATGGGTGACGGCAAGGAGGCTCCACACCTACTAGAACGAATTTCGGGGAAAGAAATGCCGGCTTCCGACAAGCGCATTCAAGAGGATGACGAAAGATCTTCACCAGGACCTTGTGGGAGCAGTGGCAGAACTTGGTGGGTTCCCTGTACCCATCATCCCCGCTGGCTGCTCGGGTCCCCTTTCCTGTGCGGACCCACGTCGACTGAATCCCCCCCCGCCGAGGGAGTGAGCTTGTCGCCGACTCTGCCAGCCTTCAGCACCTTGCAAGATCACGCTTACTTTCCTGGTCATTCAGACGTCAGTCATGGGCGAGCTGGCTGCGGACGATGCTTGTGTGATATTGTGTTGGAAGGACAAATATGTTGTGTTTGCTGGTCAAACGTGGCACACGGTGTCTTTTTGGGAAGATGCTTTTATGGAGTTGCTCCATCTTATAGCTGGCCTCCGGCTTCTTCATCTTCCCTCGACTTTCCCTGGCATTTCTGTCTTCTGCAATGCAAACCACTTTAGTTGTGTGTCTTTTCTCCAAAAGCGTTCCAAAAGCTTCTTATACAGGATAATACAATTAAAATATCAGCCACTCTCTTTTAAATATACAGATTCTTCCCTCAGCTGGTGTGTTCTAAGCAGGCAACAGCATTATCCAAGGACCGCTGAGATGTTTCCGCTGAAAATCCTGGGCCCATAAGGAACATCTAGAGAAGAGCAGGCCTCAACGACAGTAGAAACAAACTGCATTTTCCCCTAGCACTGTGGACGATGGGTTTGAAATATGAAAGAGTACATGCTCAGAGGACTGTTTGATTAAAGTTGATTAAAACTGGGGCTGGCCAACACTTCTGTGGCTGTTCCAACCTATCACTAATGGAGCAGCAGTTGTAAAGCATGGACTGGATTAGGGAGCCAGTGTGGTGTTGTGGTTGAGAGGTCCTGGGGCTCAGGCGATCCGGGTTCTAGCGCCTGCTCGGCCATGGAGCTCCCTGGTGACTTGGGGCCAGTCACAGACTCGCAGCCCAGCCCACCTCACAGGGTTGCTGTTGTGAGGATGAGATTGAGGGTGGGGGGGATGTAAGCCACCTTTCTTTTTTCCTTCAAAGAAAAGCAGGTGGGATATAAATGAACTAAAACTAAATAAATTAAAAATGGTGGTTGGGGAAGGGGAGAGGAGAGGACTCCCAGCTCAATGGAAGGAGCACAGGTGGCTGCGGAGCGGAGATCAGGTCCTGGCGCCACTGTCCAAACGACCGCCTAACGTCCCTGCCTTTTCTGAAATGACGCGCGGGGGTCTTGCCTGGGCCTCAGTGCCACAGCTCCGTTGCTTGCCCTCTCCAGGGAGGCGTGTGCCCCGCACGGAGTCGGGGGCCCAGCTCGGTCTTGACCGGAGGGCCAGCTCCCTGCTAGAGGCCCGGCCCGCCCAGCATGCTTGCTCCCTCAGGGTTGCTGGGTTTCCTCCGATCAGGACAGACTCCCTTCTGCCGCTGCAGCTGAGCCACCGGATTTCTCTGTGGAAACTGGGCTCTATTTTTATCTGGCTAAGGAAGATCAGATTTGCAGTAATTGGCTAGATAAACAGACGCACTCTGTGCGAACCAAGTTAATGGGATACTTTTGGTGGCCGGCAAAGGCACTTTGCTGATGCTTCAACCAAAGAAAGTAATTAAGCTAATTTGCCGCACTCATGCTGGTAACATGTCTGCTAAGGGCCATGCTGGCGTGCCTCGCCTCACACGCTTCCACACTAAACCTTTTCGCCTTGTATGAAGCGTGTAAATGTCAGTCCATCAGGACCGCTGGTAAAGAGCTTAGAAAATGGAATTAGAGCCAAACATGTGCAAGAATTTCTCTTTCCCGTTAACCTGGGTCCTGACCTTTATTTACCCAAGACAAGAGATTAGAGATGTTACAGTGGGGCTTGGAGAGAAGGTTACACTACTTCCTTCCTAGACGCACATGGGTAAACCTGATTCTTACCATTTCCAGCTACTCTGAAAGCAATTCTTAAGTTGGAATCTACTAAAGAACCTAGATGATGATGATGATGATGATTAATTTTATTTATATAGGACATAAGAGCTAAAGCTCTCAGGGCAGTTTGTAATAATTCATAAAACCAACAATACAACAAAACCTCATATTTTTGCCCCAAATGCAAACATTTAAAATGAATTAAAAATACCTAACGCAACATGAATCAAGGGTTGTGTAGTCCCCTCAAGCCTTTAAATATTCCTGTATGTTTTAAATGCCTTGGCACAGAGAGACATCTTAACCTGTGGCCAGAAGGATGGCCAGGTCAGTGCCAGCTGGGCCGTGTAGGAAGATCGTTCCAGCACTGGAGGCCACCACAGAGAAGGCTCTGCTCATTGTTTCTGCCCTCCAAGACTCCCCTGGAGGGTGTCCCTTGGCTGTCTCTTGATAGGAACATTGTCCCTGAGGGAAAGGGAGATTCTGTATTGCATGATTTTGTCCAAGGGAATTCAACGAACAAGACACAGGAAGATGTGAAGTGCATCATAATGTGCCAACGTGCCATGGAGGGGGTGCCAGAACCTCATCCCCAGAGGAAGGGGCTCCTCTGTGAACTATTTGGGAGAGGACTCGGTCACAGGAAGTCTCCATGATGCTTCTGCCTCCTTATCCACTCCTCCTGTATTACCTTTCCATTTTGGTCAACCACCAAAGCTCTCTCGCATCTAAGCATGGGTGGGAGTCCACCTCATACAAACTTTTGCCCGTGATGGCAAAGCGCTTCATGGCTTCCCTGGATAGAGCGACTAAAAGTGCCCACAGGGGTCAGTTGTGTTGGCTGCATTCTTTTAATCCATCTGACACCTTGTGGCTTGGGCATTTCCCATTCACGGCACCCCATTGCTGCAGAGAAGAGCTGGCTCCCCCGTGCCTCCAACTGTTGCAGGGGAAAGATATTTCCCAAGCCAAAAGAGACATCCCGCTTATCCGGACTCCCTGGGGCAGATGGGGCAGGGGGCTTCCCCCTGCTGGACAAGATGATGGCGAGGTTCGCTTTGTGCAGCTTTAGGAAGGGTCGGTGGGACAGGCCAGAGCACCGAAATGAGGGGCTGCAGCCCTCCGAAGGCAGCTAGCTTGCTTCGGCTGCTGGAGCCAGGGCTGGGGCCGGGATGCGAGTGGGTACAGCCAGGATCCCGGCCGGATTTGCCCTTCCAAGCCCACTGCTTCGGTAGGCACGGGGATGCGCAACCGGCCTTGGAAGGCGGCCCGCTCCCCGGCCCGCGGGCGCTGGATGCGCTCTCCAGGGCCTGCTGGAGATTTTTAGCCTTGTCTCCAAGGAAGTGAAAGGGAGGAGAGATTTGGGGGGGGGGGGGATGCGTGTTACGCAGTTCCTGTACCTTTAAATCCAGGAGGCTCGGCTGAGACATGTTCGCGCGCACAGCGGGGAGAGGAGCGAGACTGGCTGGGCTTGGCGCTCCTCGATAAGCAAGATTTCGATCCTTTCGCTGGGAGGACGGGAAGCGGCGGGCGGGGCTGAGCCGGGGAGGGCGGCGGGCGGGGATGCCGGGCGATCGGCGCCCCTGCCAGCCCGGAGCCACCGGAGGGGAGCGCCGCTGCCCCCGCGCCGGCCCTCCCCGCGGGGCGCCGGCGGAGCCACAATGTGGGACGCGTCCCAGAAAGCAGGCTGAGCGCTGACGGGACGCGGCGCGGCGCGCGGAGGGCGAGGGCGGCTCTCGCCGGGGGAGGCGCGGGGGGCGCGCGTGCGCGCGTGCGCGCGTGCATTTGTGTGCACGGTGTGCGTGAGAGAGCGAGCGAGCGAGCGAGGGAGCGAGGGGCGGCCACCGCATTGCTGCGATTCCAGGGAGCTGTCCGGCACAGCGGCGGCCATGGGGCGGCTGCGGGGGCCCGCGCGCGCGCCTCGCCCTCGCCGTCAGCACAGCAGCAGGTGGAGGTCACCGAAGGCGATCTAGGACCCCCGCCGCCGGAGCCCCCCGGGCCGCCTCCGCTCGCGCGCCGCCGCCCGGCCTCCCCTCCGCTGCGCACCGATCCCCGCGCGGGCGCGTCTGCGCCAGAACCCGCTCGGCGCGGCGCGGCGCGACCGCCCTCCCGGGCTCCGGCGAGGCGGGGCGGGCGAGGACGGGTCCCGGGCTCCCGGGGCGATGTGCGGGCGGCGGGCACCCGCTCCAGCGGCGCCCGCACCGTGCTGCATTGTCTGAGGGGGCGCTCCCGTGCCCGACCGGCTCCTCGGCGCGCTTTTTCCCCTGTTGGAGCATCCGCGGGCTGAGTTACATGCATGTCCAGTGGGGGAAGGTTTAATTTTGATGATGGCGGGTCCTACTGCGGAGGCTGGGAGGACGGCAAGGCTCACGGACACGGCGTCTGCACAGGCCCCAAGGGGCAGGGGGAATACGCCGGCTCCTGGAGCCACGGCTTCGAAGTGCTGGGCGTTTACACCTGGCCCAGCGGCAACACCTTCCAGGGCACCTGGGCGCAGGGCAAGCGCCACGGCATCGGCCTGGAGAGCAAAGGGAAGTGGGCGTACAAAGGCGAATGGACGCACGGATTTAAGGGACGCTACGGGGTGCGCGAGTGCGCGGCGAACGGGGCCAGGTACGAGGGCACCTGGAGCAACGGGCTGCAGGACGGTTATGGGACGGAGACGTACTCCGACGGAGGTAAGCGGCGTGCCAGCGGCACTCTCTCGCTCCGGGCCAAGGGGCCCCTCTCCCTTCCCTTCCCTTCCCTTCCCTTCCCTTCCCTTCCCTTCCCTTCCCTTCCCCGAACGGGAACCCCCTGGCCAGGGGACGCCTTTCAGAAAGGGGGTACGGGTTTGCAGTGGGCTTCCCAAGGGTCAGGAAACGCTGTCCGTGCTGGCAAGTTTGGTGGGGGTCCGTGTGCTGCCGTTTTGTGCTCACCTGCATTGCTTTCCTGGAAGGCCCGCCTCGAATGTGCTTGCTGGACAGGGTGGGCTTGGAAGTGGAGAACGGGGGGCTCATGGGACTCACGGAGAAGTGCTGCCTTGAGCATGTGGGAAAGAGCACAGGAACTGGGGCCTGTGATCTTGGGAGGGCCCAGAGGTGTCCAGAGGTGCCTGTGTGGAAGAAGGAGAACAAGCCGGTCAGGGAGAAAGAGGCTGGATTAGAAGAGATCCAGCAAAAGGCCGAGAGATGCTGTGGAACCTGAAGCAAAGGATCTGGCAGCTCTCTCTGCTGCCGATGGACCCGAGCACAATTCTCTCAGAAACCACGGGTGGCCTCTTGTCGTTTTTATGAGGCTTGTGCAAGGCAACGGCCTGGTGGATCATGTCCTGCAGGCCGGAGGCAGTCAGGTGCCCGTCCATTGCAGGCCCACCACGAAAGGACAGCGAGACTCTTGAACGGTCTTCTCCAACCTGGTGGTCTGCAGATGTGCTGACTCCAACTCCATGCTGGCTGGAGGATTCTGGGAGTTAGAGTCCAGCACTTCTGCAGGCCACCAAGCCAGGGAAGGCTGATCCCAAATGCACCACCTCAGACCTGTAGATCATCAAAAACTGGGCTGCTTAGGAAAAATGCACACACAGAACCCTTCAGAAGGCGGAGAACCCTGTCCCCTAACATTTGGAGGTGCTTGCCATGCTAAGAACACCTGGCTCTCCGTGAGCTCGATGCATCCAGAGCTTCTTGGGCAAACAATCAGAACTCACAGAGGATGCTTGTTCTGAGATTCCGCAGCTCTGAGGCAGGAACTCAGAGGCTGTGCTCAGCTTAAGGCGTCACTTCTGGAGTCATGCAGGGGGCAGGAGGCGGAGTGGGGGTGCTGATGGGATAAACAGAACCCTGTGTGGCCAGGAAAGCACAGAGAAAATTCTGTGGCCCGTCGCAGCGCTGAGGACTACTTTGGAGAAAGTACTGGCCTCTCTCCTGCAACCAGCTGAATCACTTTGCCTTGTGTTGGGTGGCAGTTTTCTAAGCGATCGCTGCCATGTAGCCCTGGCTGTGGGCCGAGCCGCTAGGCCTGCGGGGGCTCTCTGCTTCTGAAGTTCTGTGGCCGTGGCCATGCATGTGCTGCCCCCTCCCCACGCCCAGAGCTGCTCCGTCTACCTGAAAGCCATTAGGTGGGAAAAGAACGTGCAAAAGGCCTCGGTTCTTAGTCCCGAAACATTCAACAGTGGAGGAAAAACAGGGAAGATGCTCAGCCTCAGAATACAGTGTTGTGAAGCAGTTTCCTGTCTTGGGGTAACGAGGTGGAGAGGAAGGGCGGTTCCTTCAACCTGTGCTGCATTTATGATTTACCTTTGTGTGGTTTGAGCTGGGAATGCTGTGCATTTGAAAAGCAAAGAAGCGGAGCACCGTCTGGGTACGTTCTGCATGTTTTTGCTGTGCTGGCAGCTGTCTTTATTGCTCCCTAAGGAGGCCGTACAGACTGACTACTTTGGTGTTTTGTGTTTGTTTGCTTGTTTGTTTTTCCTGTAAAGACAAGACTAAAGCCAAGATTAAAGCTAGCGACTCCAGAGATGAGTGTTTTGGAAAAGGCTTGGGCTCCCCATCCCTTGGTTTAGGAATCAGGGCAACGGTGGTGTCTTACACTGCAGTTTCTAAAGAAACCCGGACAGAGCCTCTTTCTCTGTGGCGCACACACACACCTCATAGGAAACACATCCGAATAATCCCAGAACCAAGCAAATTTTAGAGCTGTTGGCCAGGAAAGGTAATCTTGCCTCTAAACTTGGAAAGCCTGGATGAAAACGAACTTTGGGTGGTTGTGAAAATCATTCAAGATGCAAGGACTGAGTGGACAGCAAAACCTCCTGTATCACTTATAAAGAAAAGAATTGATGCCGGACTGTCAAGCCTTGATTTGGGCCACAAAATAACCTTGTGGTCGTCAGTCTGGAAACTAAATAGAGCTCGGAGACGAGAGGATGTCCTAAAAGATGGCATTCGGTCTCTTTTCTGGCATATCTTTTTTCTTATGGTTCCTCTGAGGATAAGCAAACCCAGTGAAACTCAGCCAAGCTCTGGAAGGGTACATGCAGATTTCTGGTGAACTAAATCAGAGCCTTCCTGGGCTGACCAAGGACCGTTCTCAATTAATCTCCCGTATCTGGCTGGTAATAGGGCAGGGATGTGTATGAAGTCTCTCTGTTACGGGGGAAGGAAAAGCTCCCAGGTTGTCATGCAAAAAGAGACCTGTTGAGAATAGAGGGATGCACATCTCTCGAACCCGTCTGATTTATCAGCTGCATCCCTTCCTGGGATGCTAAAATTATCTGTCACCTGCCGTGTCATATAAGTTTTGTATCAGATGTAAAAGCAGATCCACTTGAGCTCACAGGTTGAGAAAAAGAGAAGCATCTGTGGATGGAGGCCCTGAACTCCAAACCTGCATCTTCTTGTGAAGCTGATGAAGGGGACGAGGGAGAGGTAGTACCATGATTTGAGCATTCCCTCGGTTGTGCTCAAAGGACTGGCATAGGGTCCAATTTTAGCAAGAACTTTGCATTAGGGGCCCAAAGAGCTCCACTTCCCTCGCTTGCTTGCCTCGGGCTATTTAGGCAGGAGGTCCTCCACACGACTCCCACGGCCCCCTCCACCGTCCCGCGGGCCAGGTGTAGCCCTGCTGCAAGAAGACGACGCATTTTTCATTTGCTGCCCTCTGAACTCCCTCTTGGGACACATTCCTGTCTTCACCGATGGGCACATACCTTGCTGTGGCCCCACACGCAGGACACAGGTGCTCATGCCTCCACCTGGATGCTTCTGTGGCAGAGCCCCTGCTTTGCACACAGGTGGTCCAAGATCCAGTCTTTGGGAGCATCTCTGGGCAGGGCTAGGAGAGCTTGGGCTGCTTCTGCCAGCCAGTGTCTGCCCCACTGGGCTATGGACCAAGGGTCAACCAGCCCCCTACCTTCCCGTGTTTCAGCTGCACTAGCCCCAAGCCAATGCATGGATCACAGAGTCACAACTGCAGCAGCAGTGCATGGGACACAACAGGAATGGGGTTCATATTTGCACAGAAATGCATCACACACATCCAGAAGGAAAGCAATCCCTCCGCGGGGACTGCCCTTCCCCAGCCTGATGCCCTCCAGATGCACTGAACTCTGGCTCTTGGTATCCCCGGTCAGCCATGCTGCAAATGGCAGTCCGGTCGACATGGAAGTCTTGGCACACCCCACAGTCAGGAAGATTATCATGACAAAAGCATCGAAAGCCTCATGGGTCTCAAGGGACCTACATTCCACGCTCACCCTTCCTAACATCGAACTGGAGTGAGCCACGGATGGCTTCTCCTGTGCGTCCATTTTCACTCTCAAGGATTTGCACCCACACACTGAGTCCAACACACCCTGATCCGCAGCCACATTGGGTTGTCCCGCTCACTCCCCTGGACAAAACCTTCCCATGGCTCCAATTACAGGCCTCCTTCCTGCGCTGGATTAAAGAGTTGGGCTTGTCCCTTCTGGGGCCACGGCTACTTACATGCCCCTCAGTACAGCTTCCTCTTAAAACATGCACACATCTGAAAAAGGAACGGATCCGAACATTTCTTGGGCACGAACCTTTTTGGGAGCCGAAGCAACAGATAGGAAAGCAGTCAGGCGTAAACCTGGGAACTGAGTACTGGTTTCTCAGTCTGAAAATTACCATCTGTAAAAAAAGAAAGAAAGGAAGAAAGGCAGGCCTTCAAGCAGTTCATGTGTCCCTGCAATCTCTACTTGAGCTGCTTTATATTTGGCGATTCAAGCAGAGCGAGCTGAACAATACCAGGAAGGTGGCTCTCTCTTGGAAATAACTAAGCAATGCAGTAGTTACTGTTTCAGGCTGACGTTAGCAACTCCAATTAGTTTAGCCGATCCTTAAAAATGTTTAAAAGCAACAACCCAAGCTTCATTTCTAGTAATCTCATCTCAGAATAGCACACTCGCTGTTCCTCCCTCCTCCTCCTCCTCCTCCTCCCCTCGCTTTTTGTTTCAGAACCTTGGAGAGCGTCTCCCTCCTCCAGCTGAGCTGACGGGGCAGGCAAGCAAGCCAAGCAAGCCACCGGGCCTGTTGTATAAGCCTTCCCTTTATTTCATACCCGCTCCCTCCTGCCTTGAAATGCAGCGAGGTGCTGCAGACACTCCTGCAAGCAGTGCCTTCCACAAGCTCCCTTCAGATGCCTGTCCAGGTGGCACAGAGTCTCACCTTGATACCAGGGCTCTGAGCTGTGCCCCACTTGGAAGATGCTTGGTTGCCGGTCAATGGACTTTCTTACAAATAACCATTGTCCCTAAAATTTGACTGGAAGGAGAACAGGTGCCTCAGTCACATCCGACCTGCACCATTTCTAGCCCACCAAGACAGCTCCCCAGGTTGCCAGCGGCTTCACAGCCATCCTGTTTTCTGCAAGCCACAGGACAGGAGTCCCTAGTGGGTGGCCGTGAATGGCCATGGAGTGTATCTGGTGCCCTCCAGGGGTTCAGGCATCCTATGGAAAGTTCCATCTACAGCGGTTCTTTCCCCCACTCCAGGCATCACATGGTGCTGTCCTCTCCTGGCTAGCAACGTGCACCCGCTGCAGCTGCGCTCCAGGTTTGCCACACAGTCTCCCATCGGGGTGTGTGGAAAGCGGGTGCCTAAGCAGGTTTTTAAGATAACCCATTCCGGCAATGATGCGCAGTTGCGCAACGATAAAGGATGCCTGCATGTCG